TTTGGAATACAGATCCGCCGCCATCCTACATTGCTTACATTCGTAAATGTACGGATTGGGCGTGTTATCCCAAACAGACGATTTACTTTTCGCATCAGGAGCCCGAAACTTGTGCGGTGTGCTCCGGATGCAGTTCAATACAAGCTGGCAAAATTGCTAAAAATTCGCTTGAGCGAAACGCCAAAGGCGTCGTGTATGTATTGCAGTCGATGTACGATATATCATGTCCGCTAGTCGAACAATAGGAAGGATGTGGCTATTCGCCTGCTTTAGGATATAAAACGAACGATAGTATAAACATTCGGCATTATAATACTGACTTGGGCTACTAAAAGATGGTTGCTGGTTTTTTAAGGAATTACACCGATGGAGATCGACAAACGACAGGGATGAAGCGCCAAACCCTTCGGTATCCCTGCTGATGAAACACTTTACTTGGAGAACGCCACACTTATGCAAACATGTACCGGACGTTTCACAAAGTACCCGCAGAAACACTGATGCAGTTGGCCGCCGGTACCTCAGGACATCAGCAATCGAAGCAAAATACAATGCATGATGGCCCCGAATGATCCCGTAAGTTCACAGAAATGACATGGACATCTAGCCCTCGGTTCGGTTCCCCGGTACGGTTTCCCCGTGCATGTGACAGGTTTGACGACCATCTGTCCTACTTTCCAGAACGTTGTCCGGCGCCAGACGGTAGACCGTACTCTTCCACGTGCGCCGTTGGATCGTCTGCATGTACGAATTCCACAACTTTAGACAGGATAGAGGGTGCTGCGAGCCAGTGTCTGAGAGTGGTGAACAGAACGCCTCTTGTAGGCGTCTTCTGCACTGTTTCGTTATCTACTAGCCCTTGAGACAACCAAAGGCCGTCCAGAGCCATGTTGGCAAATTGCTCGAATGGTAGCGCAGACAGACGAAGCACTCATAAATTGGACCGGACGCGCGGACAGTAACAAGATCACCTGGCAATGACGAATCCCCCCGGAGTGACCTACTATTCTACAAAGTCCTGACTGAATCAAGTCATTCATACGTACGGACCATAGGTCATGTAAAAATGGAAGTCCGTCGACCTATTCTCGGTAAGATCCTCCCCAGCTGGCGTTTTCAACAGAAGCACCCAGGGGGCATATAAAGTGATATAAGCGTCCAAGCTGGGTCAAAAGTGCACGTACGGGACATGGTATCTAGAGTGTATGCAGTGAAAACATTCTGGAAATTGGAGAGCCTTTTTGACATCACAGTGGCAAGCAGCGTTCAGCAGACTGAATCGTGATTGGCTGTTGGGTCCAGGGTCAAAAGTGTACGGGACATCGTATCTAGAGTGTATGCAGTGAAAACATTCTGGAAATTGGAGAGCCTTTTTGACATCACAGTGGCAAGCAAGCAGCAGCAGACTGAATCGTGATTGGCTGTTGGGTCCAGGCATTCGAATAATGGGAGCACTTGACGCTGGGCTGGCAAGAAGCCCGGTCTTATGACCCAGCACTTGTGGCCCTAGGGTTTTTGCCATCACAGCG